CCAGCTGATTCGAAAGGTCGTCGCAACCTCTTGTGGGCATTTGGATTATTCTCTCTGATCCTGATATCATTCCACATCTTCTCGTCAAAAGAGATGGATAGCCTCCCCGCCCCTTTCACCATCGAAATTGATGGCAGCCCCATCGCCAAGGTCGACGGCAACCCCGAAGACAAGACGCATGCGAAAACAGGCACGGACGCAGCCGTCTTTGAACTCAAGGGCAGCCGTCTGCAGTGCGACGGTCACATTCTTGGACGAGCCATGGTAGAAGACCGTAGCTTCCTTCCAAAGCAAGTGTGGTGGTTCAAGGCAGACACCGATATGCCCGTGCATAAAGTTACTGCAAGTCAGGACGGTGACTCGTACCAATTGAAGTTTTCCAGTATGTGTATTGCGGTGATGTGATCATGCTCATACTAAATACATGCAGACGCGCCTCTGATGGTAGACGATGGAGGGGTCTTTGCGGATCTTCTTGGGGGTGAGTATCCTCCACCTTGGCATCGAAATGACTCCTAACATTCCCAGATAACCCTTCTAAAGTGGTCTTGAAGATGCAGTCGTAGTCATGGAGTGGTTGAATGCGGAAGTATACATGCTGTTTAAGGTTCGTGGCATGTTCTGGTGGAAGTTTCGGTATGACGTCACGCGCCATGACATGTCACCAGCTGAGCAGCTGCACGACCAGCATCCCTGCAGATCAGCCGTATCTTTTTATGGTACACGATGTATGCATCTAGACTATCAATCATATCTGAATGTATTCTTTCATGCCTGCCTCGCCGTGCCAATTGTAGACCTTTGGCTGTTAGAGTAGAGTGGAGTAATCCGATTAGTAGGTCTATGACGGAAAGGGCTACCAGCCATACGTGAAACGATGTCTCAGAACAAAAAGAGACATGGCCGCCGTACCACATGAAGATCGAGAAGTGTACCCTACACTTCCTCCATACGCTGTGAGAGAACTATTCCAGGGTTTTGGGCATCTCTGTTGCTCATCGCGCGCAACTGGTCCTTCATGAGTAATCCACGGCAAAAGTAACACCCCAACTTGGGTCGAGCCCCAGAAATCCCTTGTACTCTTCCACAACATGGGGCAGGCGAACGAAACCTGATCCCATCCAGTCGAGCGCGTACTTCTCCTTGAGAACAATGCGCATGGGCAAGTTGGAGGATCGGACCTCGTAGCGGCTGGTTTGCAACTTAACCTGCGTAACGCGGTGTTGTTTGATGTAACTGACCCAGGTTGCATTGTCGGTATTCATGAGAGCCGTGAACGAGTCCATGGTAAGCTTTTCAACATTGGATGGGGCAGCTTTGGGCGTAATGATGTAATCGGGGAACCGGTGCCTGAACTTGAGAAGTGGGAGGACATCAACGTGTTTCAAGCAGTCCATTCTGATCCAGAGACGCAGGGTGCCAGTCGTTTTGGAATAACCCTTGATCCGATTCCGAACGTCTTCGCTTAATCGTGAACCTCCGCGTAACACCGGAAAGAACGCTTTGAAGTATCCATCCAGTGCAAAGAGCGGGAACAGATGGGTAGATAGCCACAAAGGACGAAACTCAGTACGGATGAGAGAACAGACTTGCGTCAAGCCGATATAAGGAAGGGGTTTCGCTTGGGTGATGGCAGGTGCTTTCTCTTCAATTGCTTTTCCGCGTCTGGATTTCTTTGGCTTTTCATGGGTCATGGGGAAGCAGCGGAAGCTCCATTCGATCGCTATTCCATAGATCCGGTTGCGCAACTCTGTATGGGATCAGTACAACAACTCAAGCACTACGCCGATGGTAGAGACTAACCTCCTGGTAGGTCCATGAATCTGAACACCTGATCCGGATTTACAACCCATGGATCGTCCGTCTTGTTGGCTTCCGGTACCGAGACATCTTTCTTGGTGGATGCTGCTGCCTTCCGCCGTTTGTTTGGGAGCTCGGAGCTGCTATGACCAATGGCTCGCTTCATGCCAGCACTCTTGCCGGCGCCTTTGCTGTCGACCGCCTGTATTGTCTTCGCGTTCCATCTACGGGCCCTATATCACGTATATTAGCTACTATAACAGATCATAGTCGATCACAACATTCAGCAGTACTTACTTGGCCGGTACAGGTGGCGTCATTGGTGGTTGGGAGTTGATGAAAGGTCGGTGGATGCAGGAGAGATGTTGCAAGAGTGAGGTCCGATGTTGCGGGGTGCGTGGGCGTGATACAGGTTGAGCTTGGACCCTGCCTCAAGGAGCGGTGGATACGCGGTCACCGTCGCGGGCACTCCCGCGGCTGATGCCTAATTGCATTGAGATCGGTGTGAGCAATTCCAATTGGCCTGTCTTTGGGGGTACCCCGGCATTGGTTTGCTCGAGCGGTCGTGTAACGATGCTAACAGATGCAACTTGGTGATGCAGTACACTTGCAGGTATTTGCACTTTAGTCTTCGAAACGGTTCTCAATCAATCAGTCACCGACATCAGCGCGGGATGGCTGGGACTTTTCGGCTCACGAGCATGATACAAGAGGAGTCTTCGAGACTATACGAGACGTGCTATTGGATTCACTGTCATATCAGTGTCAGCTAGGGGTTTAGATGTTTCTTTCCATGAGATACAAACGACTGCCCTTCTGAATGATCAGACACCGGCAGTAACTTCTGGCATATTGACTAGCCAGTTCTCCCAAAATCTGAACCCGTCGATACCCTGCTCACGACACAGTGCGCCGGCTTCTTCAGCCATCTCCAACTCTTCCGTCGCGACTCCAACGCTCCAGCCGAATCGCTCTGCTGTTTCTTGAGCAGTGACACCCCTGCCAAATGTTTGCCAATCCCAGGTGACTTCCATACTTGGTGGTGCTTGGTGTAGCGTCTTGAGCCATGCCAGCAGACTCGTAATAGTCTTCTCATCGGTGCGATCGCGTCCTTGTACGACGAGCAACCCGCTCTTGAACTGACGGAGGCGCACGGGAAGTTTCAATGTATCCCACATTCGAGCTGCCTTCTCAAAGTCGGCCGGGCTTACGAGCTCGACACCACCTCTTGCGCGGTTGAAAACAGCCCATAAATCTACCAAGGTCATGATACCGCCCTCTTTCCTGAGTATACCTCGAGTGTCGTCTGTGAGCCATTCTGCCAAGTTTCTTGACAGCTCCGATACGTATAGCGACTCAGACCCAGACCCAGTACCCAGCATGTCTTTTGTTGTCACTAGGCCGAGTGCGGAAGCGGACTGAGATGCTAAAGCGTTAGCTTCCGAGCTGCCGTTAGTCCCCAGATTGGCCTGTGATGCAAACTGTTCTGCCAGTGCTATGATCTCTTTCGCGGAAGTCATAAGCGCATCGAGGTCTTCGAAAGCGCTCCCAATCATAGCCTCGTTATTCTGTCTCTGCTCCAGGCCTCTTCGCTCCAGCCCCGCAATGCCGACCACGCGAGGTCGTTCAACCTCCGTTGATGAAGCGTCAGAGTTGGCTGTGTAGCTGTCGTTAAAATTACCGGAAGACGGCCGTGGCTTGGGAATCGGTGGGGCGCTTTGAAGCAGCCACTTGCGCTGGACTAATGCGTTCTTCAGGCGCTCGAAAAATATCGGTCCTCCACCGGCGCGGAAAGATATCTTGATGCATTCGACAGACTCGGACTGCAAAGGTGATGACAAGGTCGGACCTGGAGATTGCGGTCTAGTAGGTTCTTGAAGCATGTCCAACCTCTTATCTATGGCTGTTGTCAAGGATGCACCACATATCTCGCAGTTGAGCAGAGAAGGATGATTCTGATAGGTACATCTCGGGCATGACGACGTTCCTCCTGCGCTTGCGGGAGCAGGAACGCCACCCTTTGTATCTTTGGGAGGTGGTCCAGGCGCTGGTCTGTTTGAGATGGCTGCTATGGCTGCCTTGACTACATGCACGGTCGGCGGCTTAATTCCACATGCTAGACAAGGCGGTATGGGTGTACGTGATGCGAGCGCGGGGTCGAAGTTGGACGGGACCGGGTTCGAGAAAGAGCAGATAGGGCACACCCAGGTCGCGCTCGCTGGGGGCGGTGGTGCCGGACTACTGTGTCGCGGAGGAGTTAACGACGATGTGGCCTGAGGATGCGAGGGAACGGACGCGCCACGCGTCAACTGCTTCAGGGGCTTTGGATATAATGTGATCTTGGGCGACGACTTGAGGAAGCCGGCCTGTATGTCGTTAGTGTCGGGTGCCTCGACTTTGCACGCAGGGGGATGCACACGTAGAATTCTGGTTTCTCGACGTCCTTGAGGAAGATAGCGACGGAGTTCTTGCGTGGCTCGCTATGATCGACATAGCAGACGCGATGCGACGTCAAGTATGACTGGCCATTCTGGTACTGGGGTATCTTGAATTTCCTATGTGCCTGGTCAGCAGCGTATAAGAGCCCTGGGGAACATGCGCATACCCCTCATAGAGCCCTACGGCGTCTTGGACGAAAAGCAGCGTCTCCTCCGGCAGGAGCGACGGGCGCAGTGCGGTTGTGAGGTCGAGTTGATGCAGGAACATTCAGACCATTCGCAAGTTGGAAAATGCGAGGTACGTCCATCGCATTGGGTCGAGTCGACGATGACCCGATCCCGCCTGCATTCACCAGGCCCGGGCCCAGCAGTCGTCATTGGCCAGGGCTAGCTTGCTTGCGGCTAGACCCACGCTAGTCGTCGCCAAGCAAAGCGCGACCACTGCGACGCAAATCAGTCGAGCGGGCCGTCGCTTCACTCTCACCTCCACAACAATAGATCCATCCCCGCGCCATCTCTCCCACATCTCTTTTCCTCGCCTTTACCTACTCACACAACAGTCAACCTGGTTTTCACTTCTTTTGCTTTGCTTGCCTGCTTATGTCGTTGCCCTCTGCCACTGTAGCCTGGTCCCGGCCAATGCAGTCACCCGCGTACAACGCAGTCAACCCACGCACCACACTCCAACCTGCGCCCGCGCCTGTTAGTCTCCTCACTTATACGAGAGTCCCCATCCACGCTCACACACGCCAGCAGCCAGTCATGGCCCCGGAAGCTCCGAAGAAGAAGGTCGAGTGGCCTCCCGCCGTCCGCGAATACGTTAGGCGTGCTTTCGATCCGCAAAACGCCATCCCAGGCATCTCCCAAGCAGACATGCAGGCGCGATTAAAGACAACCATCGGTTGGTTCGCCGAGCGCAACTCGCACGACACTGTTCATTGGCCTACATTCCCTCTTCCCCAAGAGCTTCTCATGGAAGAACGAAGGGCGGCGGCTCTTGGAATGCCTGCTACTGCTGTTCCCAACGGCATACACCCTGCATACATGAATGGCTCAGCCGCACACACTAACACATCTCCAACGCAATCAAAGAAGCGCAATGCCCACGAAGCTGAGGATGCACAAGTCGAGCAAACACAAGCCAATGTTCCACCGTGGCGCAAAACTAACCTAGCATCTCGTATGACCTTTGCCGACGGACACAACGAAAAGCGCCAGAAGAAGAACGCCCTCTCGGATGCCGCAAGTAAGTTTGACCAGGCTGAGCTTGACAAGCGACGACAGCGCTTCCAGCTCGGCAACAATGGCACCAAGACGACCCCATGGGGCTCATCGCGTAAGGATGAAGACGAAATGCCCACTGGACCTGTTGTTGGAACGAACGAAAATCTCGAGAAAAGCTACTTCCGCCTTACGGCCCCACCCAAAGCTGAAACCGTCCGACCGCTCCACGTGCTCAAGAAGACCTTGGCCATGCTTGTGGAGAAGTGGAAGGCGGAAAAGAACTACAACTACATCTGTAATCAATTCAAGTCACTCCGCCAGGATCTTACTGTTCAGCACATCAAGAACGCCTTTACTGTCAAGGTGTATGAGATCCACGCCCGGATATCATTAGAAAAGGGGGATTTGGGTGAGTATAATCAGTGCCAGACGCAGCTGAAGGCACTGTATGCGCAGAACTTGGGAGGCAACCCGGCTGAGTTCAAGGCGTACCGCATTCTCTACTTCGTATATACGTGCAACAAGACCGATATGAACGACATGTTGGCAGAATTAACCCTCGCAGACAAATCCCACCCATGGATCAAGCATGCTCTGGACGTTCGGTCTTCGCTTGCCCTTGGCAATTATCATAAGTTTTTCAGACTGTACCTCGAAGCAGAGAACATGGGCGCTTATCTCATGGACATGTTCGTCGAGCGTGAGCGCCTCAATGCTCTAGCTAATATGTCCAGAGGGTATGTATACGGATTCCAAATCGTGCAGGTCTTTTGCTAACAAGCTGTAGATATGTAAATGTCACACTCCGCTTCCTCACTGACGAACTTGGTTTCGACAACGATGAGATATGCCGTGAATTCCTCGAAACCCACGGTGCACAGAACGTCATTGAAGACAAAGGCGATGGTCAATATCGTGTCAGGATCCGAGAAGCCGCATCTCAATTCGAAAGCCTGCGTGCCGCCGCATTCAGCAAAGTAGACATCAAGGGCCAAATATGAATCGACATCGGAGCCAGCACAAACTTCTTTTCATCTTCTACAGTATCATTATCCCGATTCCGAGTTATTCATTTGCACTAATTCACCACGATACCCTGCGCCACATGGCACGTCACACGTGTCTCGAACTGCGACCTTCCGGTATCGATTGCTTCCTTCCCGATGTCAGTAGTCGGAACATGGGGTTTCCGCCTCATGCGTTGGATGCGCGGAATCTTCTAGTGTGCTTCTCATACATGCAACGTCTCAGATGTTGTTCATCACCTACCAAATTGGATCTTGGTAAACTTACGGTACGTCATGGGCGTGCATGAAGGAAGTGGGTTGGAAAACAAAATGGGGTAGAGTGGACTTGGTCTAGATGGCTATGTAGGATGTGAGCCCACTGGCTCGGTTGTGGTGGTCCCTGTGTCACAGAGAGTTCGGCTCGGGTGCGTCCGAGTGCACGTGGGGTTGGGAAGACGGGCATTACGGCGGCATGCTCCACGGATGTGCGAAGATCGAACGACAATGTGGTCACATCGTGGGCCATCAGGTGACGACTGCTTGGTTTTGGAGTATGCATTGTCTGGGCTGTGGCGGGGTCTGCTCCTTTTGGAAGATTGGCTAGAGGCGCTCTGAGCGAGCCAATGAGATGGCGGAAGAGGGTTCCGAGGCTGTGATTGGGTAGGGTGCAATTGTTCAGCGGCAGTTGGCGCTAGTCACACCCGCTGGAAGTATCCAGGGCGTTCGTATAGTCGTCAATGCATTGGTTCACGAAGTTTGTGTTGAGAGTGTGAGCGCGTGTGAACCGCGTGGTGAGGATTACGGGAGACTACGACGCCACGCAGGGCGAGAATGTTTCAGTCGGGCCGCGTCCAGCATCAACCATGAGGATAACATTTGAAGAGGAGTATGGATGACTGACAGGAGAGGGGCGTCGAGATTGGGTTTGCATGTGGAAATGATGACACGGCCAACGTAGGCATTAGCATTGTGGGCTAGCCCGGTGGATGATTGGTCGCGAAGGCATAAATGCAGCGCGGATGTTGGGGGCTGCGCCGGTGTGCGGTGACAGAGGCGGAAATGTGGTGGACCTGCAGCTAGGCGTTTGGCAGGCTGATGGTGTGGGATGCTCCACCGTGTCGGGCATAATTGTATTTTAGTAGAGATTCCACATTCCTGGCCGGGAGCAAGTCAGCGCACGCAAACAAAGGTCGAAGGGATTCGCCGCCTTGCGCTACCCGCCGCAGTTCGTTTGTTCCGAAGCGTGCCAGGCATAGAGTGTGACGCGAGAGACGAATCGCCAAGTGGTTGCAGCTGGCAGGGCTGGGATCCCTCGCGGCGTGAAAGCACCCACTCATTTCTTGTTCCTCTAGTGACTGCGCCTCTGGCAGTACCTGACGACGACGACGTTGGCCGCCTATCTAAGTAGCCTCACCATTGTCTCTGAGGGCCGGTGCGCGATTCAAATTCACCCTCCTCCGCCGCGTACTCGCCCCCGCACGCACACGCCGCATTCCCGGGCGACAGTCACAGTAGCAGGACCCCCGAGTTCCACGTCGAGCGCTCGCCTCCTGACCTCTCCTCTGCTTCCCCGTCTGCTGCCGCGCAAGGTTGCGTTCACTCTGCACGATGAAGGTGCGTTGCCTGCTTGCTTTTGCCGCCACGGCCGCCGCTGCGCCCGTCGAGTCACGCTCCGCATTCGTACGTGCTAACGGTGCTGCTCTAGTTCCGCAGGAGTATGAAGAGTGAGAAGGACAACCGCCCGCACCACATTTCCATCCCGCCCAAGGACGCTATAGCCATTGTCCCGCCAAAAAAGGTACGTAGATCAGCGTTGGGGTGCTTGGGGTGCTTGGGCCCCACTCTGCTTCTTCACGAGGCGTGCGCGCATGAGGGCAGGGCAGGCGTTTGGTGTTGTCGACACAGGCGCATTGTGTGGGCGCCTGCGCCTGCGCAGCAAACATGCGCCTGTGTCGACGACAGAGCAAGCCGCGACATGTCGCTATATCATGATGCGCGCTCCCCGGCACCCGCTTCCCGATAGGGCAGATGAGCGCGAAGCTAACAGCCATCTCATTTCAGGTCATAAAAGCCCTCTACGACTACAAGCCCGCCGACCCGAGCCCAAATTCTGGCTACCTTGGCTTTTCCCAGGGCGACTTTCTGCACGTCGTCGGGCGCGAAGACGACAGCGACTGGTACGAGGCCTGCAATCCCCTGCACGGCACCCGCGGACTGGTACCCGTTTCCTACTTTGAGGGCGTAGGCAAGACAGTGCGCGACAGTGGTGGCTCCGCGCCGCGCTCCTCCACTCCCCAGCAGCCGCAACACCAGCAGCAACCGCAGCAACAACAGCAACAACAGCAACAACAGCCCCACGACTCAGGCTACCAAGAACGCATCACGAGCCCGCAGCCCTCGGCACAGGACTTCATGACCCAGCAAATGCGCATGTCGCGCGGAGGCGGCCGCGGCGCCATGGTCTACGGCATCGTCATCTACGACTTCAAGGCAGAGAGGCCGGACGAGCTAGAGGCCAAGGAGGGCGAGGCTATCATCGTCATCGCACAGTCGAACCCCGAATGGTTTGTCGCAAAGCCGATAACGCGACTCGGCGGTCCTGGCCTCATCCCCGTATCCTTCATCGAAATCCGCGATATGACGACTGGTCAGGCCGTTGCCGACACACAGGCAGCAGTCACAGCCGCGGGCGTCCCCAAGGTCGAAGAGTGGAAGAAGATGGCGGCCGACTACAAGAACGGCAGCATACCGCTCGGAAAGCTCGAGACGAATTCTGGACAGTCGCTGCAGCAGGGCATGGAGCGCATGAGCGTTCGGAGCAACGGCGGGCACAACAAGGCTGGCTCGGTAAGTCGTCTACATGCGGGTGTGCTTTTCTCGGCTGACAGCGTACAGGTCTCCCACTCACGCAACGGTTCCGTGGCGCAACAGCCAAGAAACCAATACCGCACATCCGACAACCTGCTTGCACCCTGGAGGGCATGCGTGCCACGCTACTGTTTCGCCGACGATATCTTTTGGTTCATCATCGAGTGCCAGATGGAGGACGGCCGGCACTGGGAGTTGCAGCGACTGTACCAGGACTTTTACGACCTGCAGATACAGCTGATAGCAACGTACCCAGTCGAAGCGGGCACAAGTGGCTCCGGCGAGCGAACACTGCCCTTCATGCCTGGGCCTGTCACCTACGTAACCGACAACATTTCCAACGGGCGCCGCGCCAACCTCGACGAATACATAAAGAACCTCCTCAAGCTAGGACCGCACATCACACAAGGTCACCTCGTCAAGGGCTTTTTCGCGCCAAGACAGGGCGACTACGAGATAGACCCCGATATCGTTGATGCGGAAGAGTACCGCCTTTCGCAACAATCACACCAGTCATCGAACCCCTCACACGGGACGAGCAGGCAGTCGTCCGCAGATCAGTTGCAGGCCACAACACCCGTGACACCCTACTCAACTGGCTCCAACTACCCCTCTCATCAGCGCGGTCAATCTACGGCCTCGCAGGCATACTCATCGAATCTGAACCCCCCACCCATGAATCACACCCACTCCTCCTCATCCACTGCCACCAGTACAGGCACGTCTCTTCTCAAGATCAAAGTCATGTTCGAAGATAACAACATCGTCGTCATACGTGTGCCCGTTTCGTGCACGTTCGACGACCTCTACAATAAGCTTATCGACAGAAGAAATATGGAGCGGACCCCTATGGAAGAGGAGGACCTTGTAATTTCTTGGGAGGAGAATGTACGGCAGAACGACGGCAGCACGAAAAAGAAAATCCGCTATATTGAGAATGACAAGGATATACAGGAAGCACTCGAACGAAACGACAAGTTGATGCTCCACGTCAAAGCGTGGAACGGATAAGCAACGGAACCCGCCATCTTCACCTCACTTCACTTCGCTTCTATTTAATTGCTCTTGGTCTTCTTCTTTTACAACAACCGTTGTTCTCCCCCGTAGCTCTCTCAAGGCTACTATTCTCTATTCCCCCACTTTTGGCGTTGCAAAAGGTTTTCACGGCTTCCAAAGAGCAGTCTAACTGGCGTTGTTGGGCGTTCGGCGGAGCAATGAAGTGCATGACGGCAGGCGCGGGATATTTTTACTGGATTTGTGTTTCTTTCGAGACTTTGGATCTATCACAACGATGTTTGATATGTTTGGATAGGGGGGTGTTGGATTGCTTGACTTGCGTCATGGAGGGTTCTGGATGATATACACAATTGGATGAAATGCGGGGAGAGGGAGATAGCGCGATGGATGGGGATGTGAGGAGGGAGAGGCAAAATGAGAGACATCTTGCGTGCAGCTTATCCTATTCTTTCATGGGCATGTGTGAGGTTTGGAGTAGCCAGCAGCTCTCACGTTGCGATTTCGGCGAGCTAACCGTTTGAATCTTGGGTCCTTCTGTTCACACGTGCTAGCTGGTGTGGCAGGAGCAGCCCCGGGAGGTTCGGAAGTGGGTCAAGGCAACTTCCTTGTCAGTGAACCATCTAGGCCTCAACTCCATTGCTTACTGCTACGCAATCTTACAGCGAGGTGACATTCTAATGCAAAAATACGATGGCTGATTCTCTATTTAGACCTTGTTAGGCAGCCGCTGCCCAACCTGCGACCCTTGTGCCACGGCCCGATCACAGACAGCCGTCATCTCGTTACATCGCAAGCGCATCTCCCCCACTACGTAGGTTAACAAGGCACCGGGGCCCCAGCCTTGAGTGGGGTTGAGAAAGCTCGTTAGTCAATGCTTCGGCTTATGAACAGGTAGACTCACTAGTTCGGCGTCGTGGATAACTACGACTTATAATGAGATGGCGTACCGGCAGCGAGTCCACTCGCCACAGCTTGACGCCCACCCGGGTTGACATATGGTCATGAGCTCGGTCTTGGACGTGAGCCGAGAAGTCGTGCTGCATTCGGGTGGCACAGTTGCATGGTTGCTGCCTTCTACCCCTCTATCCTCAGCCTTGTCCATCATCTCT